ATACACACCAGGCGTGCTGTGTTGGGCTCACTTCCATTCCCTGGCCTCTGTCCAGGGTTGGGCAGCAGAAGCAGGCCCAGGAACTGGGGAAGCCAGTGGAGAGGACACCGTGCATTTTGTTTATTAAAGCTAATTGGTGAATGCAGGCCCAGGGAAGCCTATGATTCATTAGCATCCTGATTAATATGCAGCTGCTGAGTATTAAGAAAAATGAAATAGAAAGGACTAAATCCCCAAAGGAGAGGTTGGAAAAATAAAGAAGCTCTCGGCAGACATCTGATGCAGGCCTTTGTCCCACACAAAATTTGAATTAGTTGAATTCAAGTGATTTTTCACCATTTGCAGAGCTGCCATGAAAACCAGTTCCAGTTTCATCCCTTGAGCCTTAGAAAGGAGCATCTCGAAACTGTTAGCAGCTCAGGCAGGCTGTGAACAATTACAGAAAAGGAAACACCTGGCGGTATCATTAATTTTAACCTGAGGTCCTTAAACTCTTGAGCAATCCAGGAGAGATTGAGACAAGGCAAACTAGGGGTACAAGGAGGCCTGCAAACAGGAATATCAGAACCACCTCTGTCAGTGGCTCATTCACTTAGGTATCCAGCAGACATTAGGAAGGCTTTGGGGGAGTGGAAAGCAGAAACGAGCAGGATGAAGGCTGTGCCCTCCAGCTGGTATGTGCTCTAAGGGGGACCAATGTACCTAAGCTATGATAGCGTTGTGACCAAGAGCAGTGGAGTGCAGGAAGGGAAGTTCCAAATGTCACTTCTGTGTGAAGGAAGCAGAAAGGGAAAGTCATCCAGGAAAAGGGTGATGGATTTGGCGAAATTGTGGAAGGTTCCAGATTGCCAGAGATGTAGTGGGCAGCAGAAAACTGTAAGGCTGGAATGAGGGTGCAGGCCCAGATGCTGGAAAGCCTCATCTGCTGTGTGAAGGAATTTAGACTTGACCTATGGCTGCTAGGAGACCACCTTAGGCTATCAGGTAGGATTAGGAGATGGAATTGCAGTTGTGAAGGTCACTGGGGCTCAGATGAGAAATGATATGCAAAGGGTGATAATTGTGGGGAGATTCAGGTGGTGGAAATGAGAGCGCTTCAAGGATGTGGAGGAAGAGAGAAGCCAGACTCCAGGCAAAGTTGGGAGTCTGAGATGCCTGGGGACAGCCTTGTGGAGAAGAAGCCTGTGGCAAGGTGAACATGTACATCATCAGGAGCTCAGGAGAGAGGCATCAGAAGGGGATGGTAAACTGGGTGGGTCACCAAAGTGTGGCTGGTATTGAAAGCCATTCATTTATTCAACCCATGAGATCCTGAGATTTATTATTCCTCCCATGAGATCCTGAAGACCTGAATGAGACATGGCCCAGCCCTCCAGGAGTCCAGCAGAGGCTGAGTGACACTATAGGCACTATGCACTTAAGTCAAGCCCAGGAGAACTTTATAGAGGAGCAAGTCTTTGGTGGGAAAAGGGACTGCCCAGGCACACCAGGCTACAAGCCTACCTTTGGAGAATGACAGGCTGTTCACTGTGGAGGGGCGAGTTGGAGATGAGCTGGACAGGCTACAGGGAGGAGCCATGCAGGCCTCATTACCCAGCAAGGGTTGGAACGAGGGTGTTCAAGAGGGCATGAAGGGAAGAGAGCAGAGGCCCAGGCAGGATCTGTTTCCACACAATGGGAATAGTAGGGAAATATTTCAGCTGCTGCCAAGAGGTTCAGGGTGTTGCCCAGGAAAGCAGCAGTACTGGAGGTCACTGGGAAGCCCAAGACCAGGTTCTCTCAAGTCCTCTGCTCCATTTTCATCCTGCAAAGCATGGCCATTATTTATTTATTTGGTACTGAGAATTGAACCCAGGGGCACTTAACCACTGAGGTACATCCCCAACCCTTTTTTGTATTTTATTTTTAGATAAATAATACAGGAGCTCACTGAGTCGCTTAGGGCCTCACTAAGTTGCTGAGGCTGGCTTTGAACTCATGATCCTCCTATCTTACCCTCCCAAGCCACTTGGATTACAGGTGTGTTCCACTGCCTGCCAGCTGTTCTCTTAAAAGCCGTCCACTCTAATCTCCACATGAATCCAGATAACACAACATCAAAATGTTGAAATGCCGTTCCTGGCTCTGAATGAGTCTCTTTTGCTTACCCCTGGGAAAGAAAAGTAACTGGGCTCTAAGGTCAGGAACTCCTCAGTAAATTTTTGTCCCACTCCAAAATGTCTTTAAAAAAGGCACAGAAAGCACTGCTTTACTGTGTGTTTTTCTATAGCCAACTTTGCTATAGACTCTTGTCTTATTGGAAGCACTTTCCTAGCTTGGTGAATTCATTGGCAATTTTGTCTTGCCTTGAAGGAGGATGAGCTTGCGTTGCGTGAAGCCAGGGGAGGGAGAAATGGGGAGGGCCGGCTCCTTCATTCCTGCCAACAGACAGTAGAGCACTGGGTGCTGGAAGCATGGATGGAAATGGCACAGTCCTCTGGGATTTACAGGCATGAGGAGTGACAAATAGAAGCAGTAATATAGATTTGCAGGGGGTTATGGATTTTTCTTTTTTCTTTTCTTTCTTTTTTTTTTTTTTTTTACTGGAGACTGAACCCAGGGGTACTTGACCAATGAGCTACATCCCCAGCCCTATTTATTTATTTATTTATTGGGGATTAAACCCAGAGGTGCTTTAATTTGTTTATTTTAAGTCAGGATCTCACTAAGTTGCTTAGGGCCTAATTTGCTGAGGCTGGCATCAAATTTGTAATCCTCCTGCCTCAGCCTTCCAAGCTACATGCGCTACCACATGTAGCACATAGACAACTTTTAAGCAGGTCAAACATTGGGAGTCTAGGTAGGTCTCAGAGGTCAAGTCAGGGAGCAAGTGTAAAGAAAAAGAGGCAAGAAACAATCTGGCAAGGGACACATGAGGACAAAGTCACAGCCAAAGCCTGGGTCTGGGATTTGCATGCAAATAACCACCCAGGCTCTGGATCATCAAGGGTCCACAGTGTTGTATTCTGAGCTAAAATGTGGAATTTAGGCAGGCAGGAGACTGAAAACCAAGAAAAAGTTTATGGAGAAAGCATCCAAAAATGAAGATGTATTTTCCTAAGTGCAGATACTCTTCTATTTACAATGGGGTTATGTTGTAATAAGCCCATTGTAAATTGAAAATATTGTCAGTCCAAGGCCCTGGGTTCGATCCTCAGTACCACATTACAAAAAAAAAAAAGTAAATAAAATAGAGCATTGAACCCAACTACACCTAAAAAATAATATATTTTTTAAAAAAGCATTGAGGGGGGGCTGGGGTTGTGGCTCATGGTAGAGCGCTCATCTAGCACGGCTGAGGCACTGGGTTGGATCCTCAGCACCACATAAAAATAAAGTAAAGGTTACTGTATCCACCTACAACTAAAAAATATATTTTTTAAAATGCATTGAGGGCTAGAGGTAGAGCTAGAGTTAATATTAGAGAGGCCCTGGGTTCCATCCCCAGCACCAAAAAAAAAAAAGGGAAAGGAAAGGAAAAGAAGGAAATGCACAGAGTACACCTAACCTGTGGAACATCCTAGCTTGGCAACATAGCGCATGTAGAGTACTGGTTGTTTCCCCTCGTGTTCTCTGCTGTCCTTGGCTGTCTTGGCTGTAAGGTAACAATCATGAGTGGACCAACCCCAGAGTGGTGGTGAGGATGCAGAAAGACAAGGCATGTGGCTTAGTGTGGCGCCTGGCAGGTGGGAAGTGCTTAAGCTAAGGGCCTGGGATGTAGCTCAGTAGTAAAGCAGTCCTGGGGTTCAATCCCCAGTACCAAAAAAATAATAAGAAATTTGTACATACACATTTTGTGTGTGTGTGTGGCTCTGGGAATGGACTCCAGTGTCTCCCATCTGCTAGACAAGTGCTCTACCACTCAGCCACACCCCACCATAAATATAACTTCTATTTTTTTTTTTTTTTTTTTTTTTTTTACAAACCCTTGTGTCGAGGGCTAAATATAACTTCTGTGTGTTGTGTGATACTGGAGATTGAACTCAGGAACATTCTACCACCTAACTATATCCCCAGCCCTTTCATTTATTTTATTTTGATTCAGGATCTCAATAAATTGCTGAAACAGGCCTCAAACTTGTAATCCTCCTGCCTTGGACTTCTAAGCAGCTGGGATTACAGATATGCACCACAATGCCCAGACCTGCTACCAGGGATTGAATTCAGAGGTGCTTAACCACTGAATCATATCCCTAGCCCTTCTTATTTTTTTATTTTGAGTCAGGGTCTAGCGCCACTAGGTGTGCACCACCAGGCCTGGCTTAATTATAACTATTCTTGGTGGGGGGAGTTCTGGGGTTTGAACTCAGGGGCACTTGACCACAGAATCACATCCCCAGCTCTAATTTGGGTTTTATTTAGAGACAAGGTCTCACTGAGTTGCTTAGCACCTCCCTTTTGCTGAGGCTGGCTTTGAACTTGAGATCCTCCTGCCTCAGCCTCCTGAGCTTCTGGGATCACAGGCATGCATCACCTGCCCAGCTTAAAATGAAAATTTTAAAAAAGGGGCTGAGGACACAGCCAGTGATAGAACACTAGCTCTGCTTTCAATCTACACAGAACTGGGGGGCGGGGCAGTTGGTGTAATAAAACAACAGCAACAGATACTATCTTAGAACCTTGGACATACTTAGTTTACACCTCTGGGTCTGTTTTCTTAATTATTAAATGGGATGCCAACTCCATTCTTCAGGGCATGAATGAAATAACTTAGGGAAATTGCCAGGAATGCCTTACAGGGTCAACCACCTTAGGACTTTTCCCACTGTAGAGCTCATTCAGATAAGTCTTGTCTTTTATCCCTCCGGTTCTGAGGCTTCATGCATGCTAAGCTCACACTGTACCACTGAGCTACATCCCCAGACCAGATCAACCACTCTTAGGAGAGAGTCTGGGTCTGATCTCAGTTTCCTGCACTACATGAAGTCAGGTTTCTGGCCCTTGTGTGTCTCCACCTCCAGTGCCAACCGCCAGCTGCCCGCGCTGGAAGGGAAGCCAGTACCCTACTTCTCCTCTCTGGAGTCAAGCATTGATATCCTGAAGAAAAGAGCCCAGGAACTGATCGAAAACATCAACGAGAGCAGGCAAAAGGATCATGCACTCATGACCAACTTCAGGGACAGCCTCAAGATCAAGGTGACAAACTTTCCATAATGGGACTGGGGGTGTTCCTCACATAAAAGGGGAGGGAAGGCACCTTAGCTGGGCTCTGTTACATTCTAGGTACTGTGCTAGGCAATTCACACACAGTATCTCATTCTACCATTACAACACTCAAGAGATGGGACCCATTTCAGACGAGAAAAGTAAGGTTCAAAAATAAATCATCTGAGCCGGGTGCAGTGGCGCATGCCTGTAATCCCAGCATCTGGGAGGCTGAGACAGGAGGATCATGAGTTCAAAGCCAGCCTTAGCAATGGTGAGGTGCTAAGCAGCTCAGTAAGACCCTGTCTCTAAATGAAATGCAAAATAGGGCTGGGGGGCTGGGGATGTGGCTCAAGCGGTAGCGCGCTCGCTTGGCATGCGTGTGGCCCGGGTTCGATCCTCAGCACCACATACAAACAAAGATGTTGTGTCTGCCGAAAACTAAAAAATATTAAAAAATTCTCTCTCTCTCTTTCTCTCTCTCTCTCTCTCTCTCTCTCTCTCTCTCTCTCTCCCTCCCTCCCTCCCTCCCTCCCTCTCCCTCTCCCTCTCCTCTCTCTCCTCTCTCTCTCTCTCTTTAAAAAAAAAATAGGCTGGGGATGTGACTCAGTGGTTGGTACCCGAGTTCAATCCCCGATACCCTCTCAAAAAAAAAAAAATACAAAATAGAGCTGGAGATGTGGCTCAGAGGCCAAATATGCCTGGGTTCAATCCCTGGTACCCCAATAAATAAGTGATTTGGGCTGGGGGTGTGGCTCAGTAGTAGAGCACCTACCTAGCATACATGAGGCCCTAGGTTTGATCCTCAGCACCATCAAATTAAGAAAAAAATTTTTAAAGAAAATAAAAGGCTTAGTTGGTAGAACTCTTACCTAGCATGCGCAAGACCCTGGGCTCAATCCCCAGCATCACCAAAAATAGAAAAGAAAAAGTAAAAATGATTTGCCCTAGTGAGGGAACCAGGTCCATCTGCCAAACCCAGCCTCTCACCTCACACAAATGTGAACAGCAGCAGGAGTAGGAACCATTAATAGCTCATAATAGGAACCTTTGATAGCTCATCACACCTGTGTGCTCTGGAAGTTGTCAGTGGTTTGTGACAGGACAGAGGTTCCCCCAACACTCCTGGGGTTTATGTCTGACACAGCCTGATGTTATGCTCAGGTCTGACATTAATGGTTGTGCCTCTTGAGAATTACAGTAGGCAGAGCCCATGAACTTGCAGTGCTCCTGGGTCCCTTAGTCAGACCTTTTTATTTTCAAATTCCATCTAGTCAGGCTGGGGATGTGGCTCAAGCGGTAGCGCACTCACCTGGCATGCGTGCGGCCCGAGTTTGATCCTCAACATCACATACAACAAAGATGTTGTGTCCGCCGAAAACTAAAAACAAATATTAAAATTCTCTCTCTCTCTCTCTCTTAAAAAAAAAAAATTCCATCTAGTCATTCTTTGGTATCTACAGTAGGATTTATTCTAGGACCCCCAAAATATACCAAAATGTATGGATGTTCAAGTCTCTTATATCAAATAGTGCAACAATTTTATAGAACCTGCACACATCCTCCTATCAACTTCACATCATCCCTAGATGACTGTTAATATTGAATACAATGTAAATGCCATGTAAAGAGTTGTTATACTCTAATGTTTAGGGAATAATGACAAGAAAAAGTCTGTACATGTTCAGTACAGATGTAATTGTTCAAGTATTTTAAAATTTTTTGTTGTTGTAGATGGAGAGAATGGCTTTATTTTATTTGTTTATTTTTATGCAGTGCTGAGGATTGAACCCAGTGCCTCATGCATGCTAGGCAAGTGCTCTACCACTGAGCTATGGCCTCAGCCCCTTGTTCAAATATTTTTGATCCATGGAGTGAATCCCTGGATGTGGAACTAGCAGGTGCGAAGGGCTGACTGTACCTACTCTTGTTTGCAGTGGTAGAGATGGAACCCAAGGCTCCTGAGTGCTAGGCAAGTGCTCGACCACTGAGCTGTTACCCCAGCTGTTACCTGTACTTTAGCATTTTGTTTTAAAAAATGAAAAATTTAATATGTAGGCAATTTTACTTCTATCACTGGAATTCTTTGTACCATTTTAATAAATTGCAGAATTCTAAAAGACTCACTTAGAACTGTAAGGGTAAAATTTCTAAGCTGATTCTAAGCCGCAAAGCCTGAGTTAAAGTGTAAAAGACTGGGCATTGTAAAGTTTCTAAACTGCAAGGCCTGGGTTAAAAAGTAAAAGACCAGGTATTGTTAAAATTCCTCTGCTACCCCCAGAACCTGTAATCCCTGTAGCTGTTAGGACAATACTGGAACTGCCCAGTAAATATCCCCACTGTTTCCACTGGTTGTCTAATAACCTTGGACTCTGTGTAGTTTGTCACGTAGTCCTTTAGGCCCTAAAACCAATCAGTTTGAATGTGTACCCCGCTTAGGAGTGACCAATCACCTCCGTCCAATCTGTTCCCGCCAATGAATGTACTAATCGTGTCTCAGAGTTGTTCAATTTTCCCGCGCCTCATGATGATTTGTTCATATGTATACAAAGCCCCCGCCCTCCCCAAAAAGTGTACTTAAGCTCTGCTTGACCTCTGCTCGGGGCTCTGGGCTGCTCTCCTTTCTTGAGGGGGCACAGAGCCCCAGCATGCTGGTTCAATAAACTCCCTCCTGCTCATTGCATGAAGCCAGTCTCTTGTGGTCTCTTCCTCTGACGTTTCGCCGAACCCTTACAGAACAGATGTATAGTATGCTGCTTGTTTGATTTTCTTTTTTTTTTTTTTTTTAATTTTTTCAATATTTATTTTTTAGTTTTCGGTGGACACAACATCTTTGTTTGTATGTGGTGCTGAGGATCGAACCTGGGCCGCACGCATGCCAGGCGAGCGCGCTACTGCCTGAGCCACATCCCCAGCCCCTTGTTTGATTTTCTAAGAACACTTTTCTTTTAAAGGTCACCGATCTGACAGAGAAGTTAGAGGAGAGAATGTACCAGGTTTACAACCATCACAGCAGGATCATCCAGGAGAGGCTCCAAGAGTTCACCCAGAAAATGGCAAAGATCAGCAATCTGGAAACAGAGCTCAAAGAAGTCTGCCACACTGTAGAGTCCGTGTACAAAGACCTGTGCGTCCAGCCTGAGGTGGGAGTGACATCCTCACAGGGTGGGGCTGGGGGCTGTCCTGAGGAAGGGGAGTGAATGCGGACAGGAATCCACTGCCCAGCCCTAACAACAGGGCCACACGCCCTACAGAACCCTGTGGCCCCCAAAACAGTGTGTCCAAGCTGAGAAACCAAACCACTGTCATTTCTCATCACTGTGTGGCTACAGAAAGGACAAAGTGTAATCCTACCAGTCAGCAACTGTTCCCTCTTACCCACAGCGCTGAGCCCTGCAGCCTGGCATATGCCCTGGGGCCTAGGAAGTGCCTCATCCAAGTTTATTGATTACAGCAGAGCCCAGACTCAGAAATGGGCCAGGCCACTCCAGTGCAAGGTCCCTGCCCTGTTCTAACAATTCAAAGCCCCCAGCTTTGTTACCCTCTCCCCTGAGAAACTCCCCAAACTTCTTTGCAGTGGTTACCAGTAGTTACCAGTAAACATGGCCGAACACTGTGGGGTCAGCTATGCAGGCTCTTTATTCTCCTTTCCCTTGTTCTGCTCCAGTATCCAACATAAATAAGGCACTGCCCCGGGATGGGAGGGTAGGAAGGCACAGTGAGCCCCGATGCACCCTCTTGGGGTCTGGGGTCTGCTCAGGGCAACTTGAGGTTGGTCTTGATGAAGTTGCTACAGAGTCATTCTCCTCCTCCTCCCTGCTCCACCCCATCAGGAGAAGCTTCTGTCTTAAGGTAAATGGAATCTGACCTCATCCACAGTTAAAAGTGGATCGAGAAACACTGAGAATCCCATCTTCTTTTTAAGAAACACTTCTGGGTGATTTCCAAAGGGAAACTTTGATATTTAAAAATCAGTATGTCAGTAGTTCCCATCATACAAGTTGGGTCCATTTACCACCATCTACAGCACAGTGGTCCCAGGGTTCAGCCAAACATCTCTCCAGGAAGGGGCTTCAGAGCATCCAGGTCCTCCAGTGAAGTGGGTTCACTTGCCAACTGTAAACGCCTGAATTCCTGTGATTGCTCTTCCAAGGATCAGAGCGTGAATGTCATGTGTACCTGGACGAGATTAATAAAGAGTGGGCTTGGAGTCTTAGAACCTGTGACTTCCCTTTAAAGTTAGTTTTCATGTCCCCCTAGGTCACAATTCCAGAAGAACAGACCTACAGAGATGATGAATGCTAACCACTGCTGGGAGATTCACTTACATCTTAGTGACAGCCACCAAGAGGCTATTGTTGGGCCATGCAGAGAAGATTGTTTTTCACAGTTCTGTAACATAACTTGGCCAGAAAAATAAAAAGATAACCCAAGTTCCTTGTGCTAGATCCAGTAATACAGCAAGTCTAGCCCTCGCTATGGGCCCAGCCTTAGTGCTCCCCACTCTTGGCAAATTCGCCCCACCCCACATGATACCCCAGTTGATTAAACATTTGATTTTCAATCCAGCCATGCTTCCCATGACAGAGGCTGAGCCTTTCGGCTATGTGAAAATACGACTCTTTCCCTTTCGGCTATGTGAAAATACGACTCTTTCCCATCCCCAGGAGGGACAGGAAAGCAAATATCAGAAAGCAGTCACTTGTCCAGGCTAATCCCCCAGCCTGAAGCTGTCCCTCCTAGAATGGCCCACATGACCTTCCCCAGCTTTCAGCAGGCAGAGGCAGAGACTAGGCCTCCCTTTTACAGAGTCAGATCGCACTGTTGACTTCCCAAAGCCCACTTCTGACCCTTCCCTCTGCTGTGTAAGACCCTGTGCAGGTCCCTCTGCTTATCCTCAGGGTCATCCTCACACTGTGGGATCCCCCACCCTTGCCTGACAGAAACAATATGTGGGGCTGCAGGACCTCCCCTTGGTTCCTTAGTCCTGGGGGTGAGCAGGGAAGACATTCACTCCCACACATGCCATCTCTTCTGTCTAAAAGCTTCTCGGCATGGGGAACTCTATTTCTACATGGCTTGCAATGGACTGTGCTTTTTTTTTTTTTTTTTTCCATTTGTTTGTTTATTTATTGGTTCTGGGGTTTAGTGTCCAGGGGCACTCAACTACTGAGGCACATCCCCAGCCCTTTTTGGTATTCTGTTTAGAGACAGGGCCTTGCTGAGTTGCTTAGCACCTCACTAAATTGCTAAGGCTGGCTTCGAACTTATGAGCCTCCTACCTCAGCCTCTGGAGCTGCTGGGATTACAGGCATGCGCCACCACACCCAGCCCTTTTTTTTTTTTTCCTTTTCAATTATCTTTTCTTTACATCTGTCTTCCCACCGAGTCAGGAGTCCAGGACCCAGTGTGAGCAATATCCAGTTGCAAGGTGCAAACATCACAGTCTACAAATGACTTTTCTTTATCTCTGAACATAAAGTAGAATGGTGATTCCTGTATGTTGCTTCACCCTCTCTCCCTTGCACCCCCAGCCTTCGGGGACTGCCCTCACTCTGGGGATGCCTGTGGAGGCTGTCCCTCAGTCTGAGGAACACCCTTCTCCTTAGCACAATGGGAGAAGGGGCCAGAAGTCCTCATAGGGCCTGCTGGGACCTCGATGCCATGCAGTGAGTGTGTGGAGCATTTAATTTTCACCAGGCCACATGAGCAACTTTGAATGAGAGACAGAGGCCTGTGACTTGACCCCCGTCACACTGCCACTTGCTGATAGCTGGAGTAGGATGCAAACATATTGTCCCAAGACACTGAGAAGGCCACTGTGACACTCCACCCCTGTCCCAGCCAAGGGTCCAGCCCCTACCTTCATAGGTGTTCACAGCCTCCAGGTTCATGGCATGCCGGATCACATGATACTCATCAGAAATCCCATTCCCCCCAAGCATGTCTCGGGCCTGGCGAGCAATATCCAGGGCTTTCCCACAGTTATTCCTCTTCAGCAGGGAGACCATTTCCGGGGTGGCCCTGGAAGTGGCACATACATGTAACAAGCAACAGATACAAAGAACTGATGCCCTGAGCAAACCCAGCCAGTGGGAGGGTGGACTCCCTAGTGTAGCCACCAAGCTCCCAATAAGGGACCAAGGCCATTCCTGGCCCAGTCCATGAAGGCCAAGAGAAAGAGAAGCATGGGTCCCTGGAACTATTAGGGAGAAAGGGCCTTCTCCCCAGGAGGGGCACAGAGTCCTCCCACCATAGCTGCCTCCCCCAATTTGAGGCCCCTACTTGTCCTGATCCTTCAAGCGGCCAAGCTGCAGGCAGGCATGGAGGCCCAGTGTGATCTCAGTGAGCATGTCTGCCAGCTTCTTCTGAATTAGTTGGTTCCTGGCCAATGGTACACCAAACTGGATCCTGAACAGGTAAGATCAGGTAAGGGCTGGAGGGATGCCCACTTCCTGGTCTCATCCCAAGGCCCCACTGTTCCAGGAAGCCCACCTGTCCCTGGAGCTCACCATGGCCCAGCTGTGGACTCAGCCCTTCACTGAGCAGAAGGAATTCACAGAGAAGGGCAGGAACTGGAGAATCACTACTGGGAACAAGATGGATCCCAAGACCCCTCACACCCCCAGGAATCTCACAGCATAAATGCCACACACACCTGTCCAGGGTGTACTGCCGGGCCGTGTGCAGACAGAACTCGGCGGCTCCCAGCACGCCCCACGTGATGCCATATCGGGCATTGTTGAGGCAGCCGAAGACACCCTGTAGGGTTGAGGGTGGTGGGGCTGAGAGCCTGTGCAGAACCAACTCTGAAGCAGGGGAAAACTCCCTCCCAGACACCCCGGACAGGGACCCAGCAGCCATTTAATCACACAGGGCCCTGGCAGCAAAGCTCCGGTACAGCAGGCCTGGACCGGTGCCTGCCCACTCTGGATCTGCGCACTCCTACCCAGCCTAGGACCTGGATTCAGTGCTCAGACCTAGGAGGCTGGCGTAAGGAGACTGAAAGATGACCATGACTGCAAGGCTTAGGCTGGTGCAGGCCCGCAGGTGTCCTGGGCAGAACCAAGATAAGCAAGACGGTCAGCCAAAAAGGACATTATCATATTAGTGAGTCAGTTCGAGCCTCATTTTATGCTCTATAAGCACAGGGACAGTGTGTGTGTTCAATCCTTGCCTGAGAAAGGTGAACCAGAAGGTGACCTGACACCAGTTTACCCAAGTGTCCACTACTCACCGCCAGGCCAGACACATTGGGCAGCAGGTTCTCCTCTGGCACCTCCACACCATCCATGATGATCATGCCTGTGGCAGAAGCCCGCAGCGAGAACTTGCCTTCAATCTTGGGGGCTGAAAGGCCCCGCATCCCCTTCTCCAGAAGGAAGCCCCGAATGCGGTTGTCTTCACACCGAGCCCACACTACAAACAGGTCAGCCACAGGGGAATTGGTAATCCTAGGGACAGGACAGTCAGTAAGAGGACTGGTTGCTGACCCCCTGCCCTATCCACCTGCCTGCCCAACACCCAGCCTCTCACCAGGTCTTGGTCCCACTGAGAGTATAGCTCTTGTTAGATGGGTTATGGTGGGCCTTGGTCTCCATGCTGCCAGGGTCACTCCCATGGTTGGGCTCTGTGAGCCCGAAGCAGCCCAGAAGCTCCCCTTTGGCTGCAGGCACAAAACAGAGTCACAGGGCTGCTGAGCCAACATTCACCCTCTCAAACAAAGATTACCAGTTTCCCCACTGAGCCAGGCTCCTTGACCAAGGTGGGTCAGGCCCTGCCTTGCCAGCACTCCCAGGTAGTAGAAGAAATGGTTCTCCCAGGCCATCATCACAATGCCATGCTGGAGAATGGGCTCCAGGGAATCAGGAAGGAGCTGGTGAGTGTCCTGAAGGCACAGAGAAGTTACACAGGAGGAGAGTGTGAGGAAGATAGATCCTGGCAGAGGAATGGGATGGGCAAAGGCCCAGGGGTACCTTTGAAGAATCCCAAGCAGCTGAGCCTGGCTGAGGAGGAGCAATTGAGAGAGTGGCCAGAAATTAGGTGGAAATGTGAGCAGAGGCCAGGTCATGCAGGGGGTCTCATGGACATGGTTAGAAAGTTAAGACTTTACACTGTGGTCTGGGATTTGGAACACAGAAAGCAAATCAGGAGACAAGACAGATCTAAGAGGAGATGGTCAAGACTGGTGAGTGATCTGGTATCCAAGTGATCCCAGAGCCTTGTCAGAGAGACTCAGGTGGTCAATGGTGCCATTTCTTTCTTTTGCTGTACTAGAAATTGAATCCAGAGCCTCCCACATGCTAGGCAAGCACTCTACCACTGAGCTACATCCCTAACCTTTTGATCTTTTACTTTTGAGACAGGGTCTCACTAAGTTGCCCATTGGCCTTGACTTTAGGCTCCTTCTGCCTCAGCCTCCCAGAATTATCAGGTGTGTGCCACCACAACCAGATGGTACAATCACTGAGATGGGGAAAGAGGTAGGCCACATTTCTGCATTCCAGATCACAGGGTCT